GAACAATCCGGAACGTCCAGAGTAGACTGCAGTTTATTTGTCTATAAGAGAGAGGGAATAGGCCAAGAAAATGCAGCCTCTCCTGATAAGACAAATGTTTCAGACCGTCGACCATCTTTGTCGCTCTGCGTTGCACCTGTTCGAGTAAGTTGATATCCTTCCTCATCCATGGTGAAGCTGCTGGCATTCCATGCTCTAGATTAGGTCTTACAAAGACACCAAAGAGTCTTTCGAAACGTTCTGGAGGAAATATTTTAAATGCACGTCTGATCCAGTGTAGAGTACTAGTTGCCTTCTGGACCATCTTTCTACAGTGTTCTGATGGCGATAGATTTGTGGTCGTCCATAAACCCAGATCTCTGTGTCTTTCCACAGTTTCTAACCTCGTCCCGTCAATATAGTAATGGTGTGTGGGAGAGGCATTGTGGCCGGTTTTCAGGTGCAAGACCACGCATCTGGACACGTTAAACTTCAAAAGCCATCTGTTCGACCAAGCACACAGTTTGTTGATGTTCGACTGCAACTTCTCTGCGTCATCATCGCATTTGACTTCACTCCATATTTTTATGTCCTCCGCGAACATGAGAGCCTCGCAATTCACTTCGCTGATGCAGTCATTAACATAAATCAGGAAGAGTACTGGGCCTAAGACAGAACCCTGTGGGACACCACTTTCCACCTTTACCCATTCCGAGGTAGAATTTCCAACGACGACTCTTTGTAGTCTGGAGGACAGAAAACTCCTGATCCACTTAAACATTCTTCCTTGAATCCCAACATTCCATATCTTTTGTAAAAGAAGCCTGTGTGGGACACTGTCAAAGGCCTTCTTGAAGTCAAAAAATATGACATCTACTGGAAATCCCTTATCGATAGCTCGTGTACATTTCTCGTGCGAGTAAAGAACACTCGTTCGGCAGGAGCGCCCTGAACGAAAGCCGTGTTGGGCATCACACAATATTTTGTTCTGTTCCAGGTATTTCATCAAGTGTCTTTTGATAATGCGTTCCATTATTTTACACGCGATGCGAGTAAGACTGACAGGACGATAATTTCCGCAGTCAAGTCTTGAGCCTCCTTTATGGATCGGAGTAAGTGAGTGCGCACTTCCATTCTTCCGGGCGCTCGCCGTCTTCAAATGACTTTTGAAATATTGCGGATAAGGGTTTGCACAGTTCATTAGCAAGTTCACGAAGTGCTAGGGCAGGAATTCTATCTGGTCCAGGCGATTTCGCAGGTTTCAGCCGGAGTAGGTCGGCCCGAACTATGGTCGATGAAAAGAGTGGTTCCCCGATTAAGGAGGGTATGGAGGGGATAAAAGGGGGAAGGCTACTATGAGGAGAGGTTGGTTGGCGAATTGATGGATGGGCAAATATAGCACTGGGTTCTCGGGTGAAGACGGACGGAAAGAAGTCGGAAAGGAGGGACGCTTTAACCTGGTCATCAATCTCCACTTTTCCATCTGCAGACCTGAGGGCAGGGATGAGCTCCTGAGTCCTTTTAGTACTTCGTATATAACCATATAAAATTTTCTGATGCTCCAACGAATTTCGGAGGATGTTTAGTTCAAACTTCTTTCGCAGCTTTAAGGCCTCACTTTTACAGACGTTTCGTTGCCGCTTATATTCCTGTAAGTTTTCGTCGTATCCAGTTAGTCTGTAAGCCACTTTTCTGTGAATGCCATAATGTCTGGCTTAATTTCATCAACTAAATCACTTAGTTCATCTAGTTTGTTGAAGGGGTTTTGCATATTTGCGGATATAACCTTCAATGACTGATGGAGAGGCCCGGCCTTCATTGTTACGGGTTCTGACCACATGAAAGACCCCTTTGTCTGGACTATTTGTCCATTTTTGATCTTCAGCCCTTTCTCTCCTCTGCCAATTCTCTCCTTCAATTCTGATCTCAGTTCCCTCATTTTCAGTCTTTTCCTCGGTTCGTAGTCGGGTTGAAAAAACACTTCCTGGTGCGAATTGCGTAAGGTCGTTCTACTTTCTAACAAAAGCGCTGCTTGGGCCTTGTTTTCCAGAATAACATTCAGGGGTCTTGAGGATGTTTTTAGATCACGATTTGGGTCCGCTTTGCCCAGTCGGAAAGCTTTTTTTAACGGTGAATATTTCCCCATCCTTTAGGACGGCACTGGCTTACTGATAGAGAAGGTCTAGGTCGTGCGTCATTCGTTCCTTCGGAATGCAGGATGTGGACTCTGGGGCGCCTCTTATGACAATATTTTGCTTACGATTTAGGGAAGAGCTCATTACTGTCCCGTCCGCGCTAGGACGATATAATGCTACTGTAGTATTCCCGACGGCTGTTGGCACTTCGATATTTGAGTGATTTCTGACCGGCGAAGGGAGTTTAGGGCATGGATTTCCATGTGACGTACTTGCTCCCGCAGTGGAGCTCTTACAATCATTACCCTGTTGCAATGTACTGCACGAAGGCTTATCGTGTCCTTTTCCATAAACGGATTGGTTAGGGCACTTTCCAGATAAGTTAGCCTTGTGATGAAGTGGAGTAACAGCATTGCCTTCCAAAAATAACGGCGAGTCCTCGTAGTTCCTAACAGATCTTCTGAGGGTCACCCTGGCTTTCCCAACTTTCGTGTTCGATGATTTGGCAGGTTTGGTTACTATAGCAGGTTATGGAACCTCACTTATCTTTGATGCATTAGCGTCGACCGCCACGTTATCCACCGGAACTGATTTGTCTAGAGCTTCCTCTGGAGACATAACTCGCTTCGTCTTCCTGACTGGCTTTGAGTTTTCCGCGCCAGTACCTTTATTAGTAGGATGTTCGTCGCTTATCGATCGGAAATTCGGCGGATTATTTGGTAATTCTGTTTTACTGTGCTTCGGAATATCCATGATGATGTCCGTCAGGAGGCCTTGCTTCTCTTCTAGCGTCTGGACTCGCTTTTCAAGTTCCTTACAGCCGACACAGCGACCGACAAGCGCAGAATCCGTCCCGTCTGTCATACAGTTTTCGAGGCCTCTTGGCAGTGCATCGGTTCATA